CCTTCTGTGGGATTCCAGACTAGGCCATGTTCAAATTGGGTCACACTATCCTGCATTTAACACCTGGTGGCTTCCCATTTCTTTCAAGCTAAGCTATTCCTTTCTCTTTAGTCTTACCCTACACAATCAGTCCTCCAGCTTCCTAGGAACACCTGCCTGCTTGCCTCGGAGCCCATGCCCAGTCCCCTTTGGGTTCCTCTTGATTCTTTCTCAGCCTGCCCCAGGGGCCATCTTATTCACTAACATTCATAGCTGGGGATACAGCTCAGTAGTACAGCACATGCCAGACATGTAGAAAGCACTGAGTTTAATCCTAGCACCATGTGCATAAAACAAAGGCTTACCTGTTGTTCTGTTATGAGCTAGGCTCTTGCTACACAGTCCAGGCTAGCCTTGAGTTCTCCAGCTCAAGCAACCTTCCTGCCTCGGCCTCCCTAGTAACTAATTTCCTTTTATTTGTGTTATGCGTATGGGTGTATTGCCTGCATGCATGTAAGAGCACTATGTCCATGCAGTATCCCCGAAGGACAGAGAGCATCAAATTCCCTGGAACTGGAGCTACAGACAGCTGTGAGCTGCCAAGTGGGTGCTGGAGATGGAACCCAGGTCCTCTAAAGGGGAGTCAGTGCTCTTAACTGCTGAATCACCTCTCTAGCCCTGTTCTTTTTTTTTTTTTTTTAATAAATCTTTTTTCTAAGACATATTTTTTATTTTGATTCTATGTGTGTGGGTTTTTGTTTTGTTTTGTTTTGCTCACACGTGTGCAGGCAGTGTCCTTAGAGGCCAGAAGAGAGCGTTAGCAATCCTGGAACCACATGGGTGCAGGGAATCGAACCCAAGTCCTCTGAAAGAGCAGCCAATGCTCTTAACTGCCAGGCGTCTGTCCAGTGCCAGTCTTTGGTTCCTGATAGCTTGTTCTTTTGCTCTCCATGACTGAGCACAATACACTATTTCTTTCTTGTGTTCCTTTGTTTACGATCTACTTCCCAACAAGCTTCTCAACTTCCTGAAAGCAAGCACCATGCCCCTCTGGCACTTTATACCCAGCATCTGGCACACAACGGTCCTAAAAAGTACTTTGGGCTCAGCTGGTAAAGTGCCTGCCAGGCACGCATTAAGGGCCCAAGTTTGGATTCCCGCACAATGCAAAAGGCAGGCACAAGCAGCTAGTGTCTACAACCCCGGCACTGGGGTGACTACCGGGAGGTAGAGCCTTGCAGCTTATTGGCTAGCCAACTCAAGGAAATCAATAAGATCCAGGTTCATCCAGACACCCCATCTCAAATAACAAGGTGGAAGGAGACAGGTAAAACACTCGTCTCACAGCCCTGAGGATCGAAGTTCTGATCCCCAGAATCCACGCGAGTCTCAGGTAGGTGTGGAGGCCCAGCTGCAGTCTGAGATGGGCACAGGGGATCCCCAGAACAAGCTGGCTGGCTAGACACTGTGTTCAAGTGAGAGATTCTGTCTGTCTGACACATAAACTCGAGAGTCGTGTTGAGATCACCTGATGTCAGTCTCCGGCCTCTACACGCACCCGTGCACATACGCAAGCACACCCACACACATGAGCCATGCACGCAAGCCTAACACACGTACACACGGAATAGAGTTCAGTGGCTTGGAGCAGGCCCTGAGTTCAATTCCTAGCATCAGAGGAGGAAAAAATCAATATTTATTAAAAGAAAGGATATACTTTAGAGATGAGAAGGGGGTGGAGCAGGTAGAACTTCCTCTACTCTTACTGAACGTCTGACACAAGAAATCACAAGTAATGCCATCATCACCTAGTGACACCTTTGATGTGGTCCCCTCCTGTGGTCATTTCATTCCATAGCCAAGATGAGGGAGGGGTGTTTATCACAGATCTACAGAGAGCCAGGAGTAGGAGGCACCCCTGCTGCCTGGGAGATTCCAGGAAGGCCCAACGTTATCTTTAAGGGAAATTCTAGAAAGAAGGAGGGGTGGGTAGTAACCAGTAACAATATTGCTTAAATTTTCCACCCTGCTATAAAACAATTTAAACATGCACAAGAAGCCCAAAGCACACCTCCAACGGCTTCCTTGTGACTTCAAGACCTCGATGGTCATCTAAGCCACTCCACACTTCAGTCTCTCTGAAAAACAACTCCTCAGCTCATTTCCAGTAGTCCAGACTTTTCCACGGGTGACTATTTCAGCATCTCACTATCTTTTACAACTTTTCAAACCATCTAACCACTACAATATCCAAATACTTTCTTTCATAGACAGGCATCGGAGTCTTAACTGATACAGGAAATGGCCCCTCCGCCATTCATTCCTTTCTCTCTTAACTGAAGATTAAGGCAATCCTAAATCTTATGGCGTTTACTTGCATAACGGCCCTACTCTAAGACATTATTTCCCAAATTTTGTTGCTTTCAGTCCCTTAAGAAGGTTTTTGTCTGTTTTTGTTTTAAACCAATCTACTAAGGGAGACAAGAAAGCTGGGCTGAGGGTCTTACATGTTGCTTAACTAACCATACTTTGGATTCATGTCTGCTGTTGTCAGGGTACTTAACTGGCTCCTATTTAACCAACATCCACTGAAATATCAGGTCTTTAATACATATCAGAGTAAAATCAACTCCTTTTTACTATTCCTAAACTGAAGGACATACATTCCCTGCTACTAAATGTATCCTGCCTATATATTAGGCTGCCCTATATAGTAGGCTACTTCAAAAGTGTGTATCATCACACTAAACTTAGGACAGCAAATTCAGAATAGTGATAAAAAGCATATTCTCCTGTCTGCAGATAAATTTGCTGTACAGGGGTTTGTCAAGAGAATGATTAGTAAATTGGCTCTTAACATAATGGACCTCAAATTTCTGTGTCTGAAACAAAAAAAAAACTACCCTTTGTTCAGTAACTGTTTTGTTATATACATACACACACACACAAAACACACACACAGAAAGAGAGAGCAGACCAAGATTTCAGCTTTTTGTTTTGTTTCTGATGTTTTACATATAAGGTGGAATCAAACCATTAATAACTCTTTCTGTTAAAACTGACACCTCTCAGGCTATATCTTATTTTTCAACTCTCAGCTACCTGGGGCATCTTGGAGTTATTATTCCAGGGATCAGATAGGCTTAACCAGAAGCTAGGAAAGCCCCAGAAAGGGGCAGACGGAAACTTTGCAGTATCACCTTCTTGTTGAAAATCAAAGACAGCCCGTGGCAGTTATAAAAACCCACAAAGTAAGCACAATTTCCCGGCTAGTCAATATTGTGACTAAGTGGTAACCCGCTCATGTGACAGAAACAGGAACAACCATGTAGGCTTAGGGGATTACCTTGGAGAAAATAAGAGAAAACGATACAGAGATGAAGGAGAGCTTAAGGAGGTTTTCGTCCCTCACACAGCAGTGCGGGACCTTTTGAACCTTCACACTGGCTTCATTCTCCCAGGAAGCTGCAGCCCTTTCCAAACATCAATTAAGGGTAGCAGCATGCTCCATTTGTAAATAGGGAAGCTGGAGTGTTTAGAGCCTGAGCAACCCAACTGTGAGTCAGGACCAAGGAGATGTGAGCCCATGACTCTGGAAACCCCATCTCTGGCAGGGAAGTGTAATCTATCTTGCAAGGATATGAAACGGTCATATAAGAAACAGAAAGCAAACAGAGTCGCGAACATTCATCTTGGAAAGGGGCAATAAGAAGAAGAGTCAACAGCCAACAACTCAAGTCCCTCAAATGCCATTTAATCAAGATGGCAAATAAGGATGGTTTCTGCTTCCTCTCCACAGGCACAGTACGGCTTGTAGGTGGTTGCTTTGGGATACCCCATCCAGCCTCACATCAAGGCTCTCCTTTCTTGAGTTCAGCGATGCCTATTCATCTGTGGCCACAAAAAACGAATCAGGTATTTCAACTGGACACATGCACGCTGAAGCTGAACCACCCTCGCCTGGAAACTGCAGGTGCTCTGGCTCCTCCTGCCCCACCCCAAGGAAAAGTTAAAACACTGTATGTCTCAAGTACTGGGGCTGAACAGGTGCTTTCTCATAAACAAGCCAAGTGACCAGTTAGGCGAACCTAAGCTTTCTTCGGTACATGAGATGAACGGAATCAAATACTCCACTGGCTAAGCTGCCCCTTCCGAAAACCAGTGAACAAGAACAAATAAATCCGTAAGACTTTAAAGTGAACTGGGGTTTACCCAGCTTTTCCTGCAGAATTAAGACACCCTCCCTGTCAGTACCTTCAACTGAGGAGCAAGAGATGGGTTAGAGTAGCCACCTACCAGGAATTTGATCCAGAGTTTACCTACTCCAGAGCGCCACAATGCTCGCTTCTACTGATCTTGGAGCCATCACCTACCACTAAATAGAATCCCCCCCCCCAGCACACACACACACACACACACACACACACACCCGGAGCAACACCAAATTGTTTTAGACTTCATGCTGAGGGACAGTTCCAGGTGGTCACGTGAGTCAGCAATCACCAGACTGGTGGGGTTTTTTTTGGTCTTGTTTTGCCCCCCCTCATTGTTTTCCCCAAGCGTCCACTAGCCATCCGCCCAGCAATCGCTCAGCTCTGCGGTGTTGGGGCTTTCATTCCAATTAGATTTCTGTGGTCCTTGCCCCAAGGGTTTTCAGCTCTAAACGTCAAGCTTAACAAAATACCCAGGGGGCCTTCCACCTAAGTTAACGCAGCAGCGTATCAGGCGCACACTACCCAACCTAATAGGAATTCTCCTACCCGCATATTGTTTCAATTCATCAAAAATTCATCTAGTGCTTACTGTGTACTGTGCACTTCGAGGTGCCCAGAGGAATCAAAACCTCTCCTGCCTTCCAAAAGCTCCCCATCCTGGGAGAACTGGGACGTGACACCGGACGAGAAGTTGGGTTAGGTGAGACTTGCGGGCGAAGCCATCGCGCGGTGGCTGCCCCGCTCGCCCCACCAAGAACAGCACCGCCCCAGAGCCCTTACGCCCCTCGATGCCCCACGCCAACTCACTGTGTCTTCCTGCGGCGCTGGTCCTGGTGCAGCTCCCGCAGGTCCACCTCGGCGCGACCCAGGAACTTATCGAGCCCGAGCAGCGCGCGGTGCAGGACGGTGAGCTGCAGGGTGGCGGCAGCAGCGGGCGCGGCCCCCGAGGACAGCAGAGGCGGCAGTTCGAAGGTGGCCTCCTCGCGCCACACGGGCGCGCCCAGGCTGCGCTCCGACACCGACGTGGCGTACTTCTCCTTGCCCACCTGGATCACCGCGTACGCATCGCTCGTACCCCCGGGACCCTTGGCCCGCAGGCCCCGCGCCTGTAGCACCGTCACCTGCACGTGTGTAGGGGACCACATGGTCCCCAGACCCCGGCCCGCTGAGGCCCCCAGGGACATGGTGGCCGACCGCCGCTCCCAGCTGGGAGGCCACAAGGTAGCCGCGGCCGTCGATCTGAACCGCCCACCCGGCTCCCTGGCCGCTTTAAGGCTTCCGGCCACGCCCCCGCCACGCCCCCGCGCCCGCGCGCCACCTGCCGGAGTGGGGCCAGAGCGGGGCGGGACCTGGAGAAGGCGGGGACCTAAAGGTCACGTGGGCTCGCGCTTGCTGAAGCTTATGGATCTGAGAGGTAGCGATGCTAAATGGGGTCCTCAGCTGCCCAAGTCCTTAGGACGCAACGGGAGCTAGGCGGAAACTCTGGCTTGGAAATCATGCTTAATTACTAAGCGTGCACTGGCAAACCGCAGGTGTGTGACCTTGTGTAGATCACTTAAAACTTTGCCTCAGTTTCCTCATGTGAAACAAGGCGACAGTCATCGCTTGGACTGCCGTAAAGAAAGTGATACATTTAAGTTTTCGGCACAGTTGCGTGCGCGTGGGGAGGGTTCCGAAAGTGGCCAGGATAAACGGGACGACCGCAAGCACTGCTCCTCTTGCCCTGGTCCCCTGGGTACTGCTCTGACGGAAGACAGGCGCCAGGGACGATAGAAGGATGTTATTTGGGCCTGCGAAGGGGAACGGGAATGGAGGGTAAGTGATAGGCCTTCCTATGCTACCTGCCCTCACCAAATAAGGTGAGACTCGGTTAGGAAGAGCAAGAAGGGGGAACTGGAAATGGGTTTGCCAAACTAATCCCCTCGGTTCCCCATTTCTTCCTACTTAGCCTCTTGCGTCTGTCCCCGGGCTCCATCTCTGCCCTCCCACCCGACTTTCTTGTTCCCGGTGTCTAGTAGATTGGTGACTTCCCTGTGTGTTTCAGGGCATCATCCTTCCAAGGCTGAAGTCTCCTGTGGCGTGGCGAGTCTTCAGACTGGAAATGGAGCTCTGAAGGCTTTTAGGTCTTAGGATTAAGGAAAGGTGCAGGGAAAAAAATGTGACACTTCCAAGTGTCGTGCATTAAAGGTGGGACTAGAACCCGGGTGTCCTGCCTCCCGTGCTAGAATTTCCTGCGCCTCTTGCTCTACCACATTCTCAGGATACCAGGTCTACCAAGGTCCCCAGGTTTCCCTCCCCCTCCTCTGGGTTCCCGCCCCTGCCCATCGACCTGTCAATAGCATTCCTAACATCTGGAACCCCTGCAGCGTTGCATCACCACCAGCTGCATTCATTTCTCACTTAGAGAACTGAAGGCATTCCTCTTTGGGTCCCACCCCTCTATTTTCCTTGACTTCTGGATAAACAAGCCTGCAGCCCAGACAGTTTCTCTCCCTCCAGGCCTGAGCTGCTTCCATTGTCTTTTGGACTGTCCTAGCTACCCAAGCAAACACTCCCCACTGCTTCACAAAGATTTCTCCAAGGTTTGTAGCTACCTAGGAGGCAGGTGACTTCTTCAACTCCCTTCTTTCTCAGTCTTTAGGCTAGGGGAGGGTGATGGCGGTGGTGGCAGCAGCGGCAGCAGCAGCAGCGGCAAAAATAAGAAAGACCATAAGACTGCCAAGGTAGCAGGGTCATGCAGATTATCAACACCAGTCTTGGGAATTTATACCCAGAGGTGAGCTAGCCTCTGGAGGACTGCGAGCATTAGCATCCTTAAAGTGTGACCAGACAGCTATGACAGGGAAGAACTTGCAGGTGACAGCCATTGGCCTTCATTCATTTCTCCCTGGAGACTCTTTCCCTGTGCCATCTGTCTGCCCCTTGCCCATCCTCGCTGTTTATACTCAATTGGCTCTCCTGCTTCTTCAGTGCCCCTCAGCTAGACAACGTCTAGGTCTGGCACCCACATTGGCTCTGGGAGGAAGTTTTCAACTCTGATTTCCTCCAAAATTATTGAGGCTAGAGAGATAGCACAGCAGTTGAGAACACTTCTTTGTTCTTCCAGATGACCCAGGTGTGACCCAGCACCCGCACAGCAGCTCACAACTCTCTGAGGTTCAAGAGGATCTGATAGCCTCTTCTGGCCTCTACAGGGACCAGACATGTATGTGGTACACAGACATACACGCAGGCAAAACATCCATACACATAAAACAAAAATAATTTTAAACATTTATTTTTACTATATATTGATTTATTTACTTATTTTTAAGGAAAACAAGGTATAGCAGCAGGCTGACCTCAAACTTCTCTTTGTCCTGTCTCTCCCTCTGAGGGTAGAGATTACAGACATGGGCCATGTTGCACAGCTCCCACACTCTTTTTTTATTTTTATTTTTCATTTATTTTATTTATTTATTTATTTATTTATTTATTTATTTTTTGCTACTTTCACAAGGGAGAGAACAGGGATTAAACCAGAGCTGGGCAGTTTCTCAGGGTGAGCAGGGAACAGGGGACAGCATCTCTTCACTCATGACAGGGATAAGGAAAGTGAGGTGGAACTAGGACTGTGAAATCTTGAGCATTCGTGACCTTGTGTGTTTGGGTTTCTGTCACACAGAGGCGGACTAAACAGGGTTGGCAGGATTGGGGAGGGCAGTGCCACCTCACCACCCCACAGATAAGGCACATTTTCTCTGACAGTGGACTCCAGCAGGGGTCAAGTGAGCTGGCTGGGGCTAGGCTCAGTCAGGGCAGGGAGGGAATCGGATCTTCGTCAATAAAGCGGGTATAGGACGTTTCCTAGAAAGTCAGTTGCAGACCTACAGGGTCCTTATTTTCCTCTTATTCTTGGGACCTCAGCACACTGTCCCCAAGATTCAGTGACTGAGTGAGAATGTATCTGCTCCCATTTTGACAACACTGTAACCTGACTAGGGATACACACGCACACTGGCAAGGGCTGCGGCAAGGCCGGCAGACTAGGGGCTCAGGCTGCCCACCGCCTGCAGCGCCACCCCTAGGCAGCTGGTTATCCTAAAGGCAGGCCAACTACCTTCCCGGGCTATCAGGAGTGTTTATAAATACCTCCCGCGGCCTGCCGGGGTGGAGAGGGAGAGAGAACAGCTCTTCCGCCCACTCTGACCCGCCTACTCCTGGGTCCAACTGAAAGAGGAAGAGTTTCAGTCAACCCTGAGCACACAGACAAGGTGCCCGGCAGGTTAGACTGGACAGGCAGGGCAGCATCTGTCCTCCTGCAATAGAAGCAAAGCACAGCCAGCTGCAGGAAGGCTCCGGGGCCTCTCTACGTGCAGGGACCAGGACGGGCTCCGATCAGGAATGCAGATTTGTAGTGGCCAGCCCGCAGCTTCCTCCTCCAAGCTGGGGGAGGAGAGAGGAACTATTCAAGCAAAGGGACACTGTCACCACCCTCCCAGTTGCCAATCACTGTCACAAGAAGTCAAAAAAAAAAAAAAAAGATGTCTATGGAGTTTAGGTGGCTGAGGTGGCAGTCCAAGGGAGGGGCTGGGAGAGTCTGGTAATGATGGCTGCCTGTTCTCATTCTTCCCCGAAGATTCCAGGGTGTGGTGGTGACAGACTTCCACCCAGAGTGATTCATTCACCCAGCACTGGTAAATAGCTGGCCAGCCTCTTGTGTCCAGCTGCCTTGGCACCTGCCCACTAGGCTGGCTGTGACTGCCTGCCTTCTGTTGTGAAGGTTTCAGGAATGTGTGGGTTGGTTTTTTGGTTTTGGTTTTTTATTTGTTTGTTTGGTTTGGTTTGGTTTTGGTTTTGGTTTTTGAGACAGGATTTCACTGTGTAACCCTGGCTGCGTGGTTGTCACGGTTCTCTGTAGACCAGGCTGGCCTCGAACCCACAGAGATCTGCCTGCCTCTGCCTCCTGAATTCTGGGATTGAAGGTATTAGCCACAACCACTCAGAGCTGGTTGGGTTTTTTTTGTTTTTTTGTTTTTTTTTTGTTGTTGTTGTTGTTGGGGTTTTTTTTGTCGACTTGACAAAAACCTAGATATATCTGGGACAAGGGACTCTTCATTGAGAAAATGCCTCCATCAGATTGGCCTGTAGGCATGTCTGTGAAGCATTTTCTTGATTAATGATTGACGTGAGAGGTCCAGCCCATAGAGATGGTGCCAGCCCTGGGCAGGCAGGCCTGGGTTGTTTGAGCAAGCCAGTAAACAGCACTCCTCCATGTCCTCTGCTTCAGTGCCTGCCTTGAAGCCCTGGCCTGACTTCCCTTGGTGATTATCTATAAGCTGTAAAATGGAAATAAATCCCCCAGTTGTTTTTATCACAGCAATTGAAAGCTAACTATGATGCGGAAGAAACCAGAGTCTCTCCGGCTGACTCACTGAGGGATGAGGAAGTGCAGGTCTCCCATATCAGGGTCTCTTTCCATCGCCCTGCGTGGCTTAGTGGTAGAGCCCTTGACTGCTATCCATGAAGTACTGCACAGTACTACCAACAAGAAGAAACACCCCCCCCAAAAAAATTTTTTTTGAAATAAAAAACTGGCAGAAGCCGATAGAGATAATGCCCATAGGTCTTTTTTGTAAGCTTCATGCTATTGCCTTTATTTAACAAGGCTATCATAGATTACATGAAGGTATTGTCAAGACCTCTCAGAGAAAGCTTTAGACCCCTCTATAATGCCAAGGCCATAAGACAAATGTGCCCCCTCTTCCACCCGTTACACACAAAGACTTCCCCGTATCTCCTATTTCCTACTCTGTCTCTTGGCACTTTGATGGAACACTGTTTTATTCTATTGTACACAGGAAACAGGCATCTCACCGCTGCAGCACAGTTTCTGGCTAGCTAGGTCTTTCTTCCAGTTTCTTCTGAGTAGAAAACGGCTAAGTAGAAGAGATATAAATGATTCTCAAACCCGCATCCAGCCATTAAATCTCTGCAACTGCCACAGCATTATCCTGTACAAACACTTTTTTAATTCGGCGTTTATTTATTTATTCTTTTTTTTTAAACATTTTTATGGTTTATTTAACTTTATTTTATGTGCATTGGTGTGAAGTGTCAGATCCCCTGGAACTGATCTTCAGACAGTTGTGAGCTGCCATGTGGGTGCTGGGAATTGAACCCGGGTCCTCTGGAAGAGCAGTCTGTGCTCTTAACCACTGAGCCATCTCTCCAGCCCTATTTATTTATTCT